AAAAAGATGGAGCAGCTCCAGGAGATGCCCTTTTGGTGGCATTGGGCCACTCTCCATGGCTGTCACCTGTCCCAGCATGGTCCCACACACATTAAATGGCATTTTGGTGCCATTGGGCCACTCTCCATGGCTGTCACCTGTCCCAGCATGGTCCCACACACATTAAATGGCTTTTTGGTGGCATTAGGCCACTCTCCATGGCTGTCACCTGTCCCAGGGTTGTCCCACACACATTAAATGGCTTTTTGGTGCCATTGGGCCACTCTCCATGGCTGTCACCTGTCCCAGGGGACAAAGGGGGGCACGGGGGTGTTCCCAGGCTGGGGGGAGATGGGGATTTCCCAACCTTTGGGTGAAAATCCCTCCCTGCACCATCTCCTGGGGAGAGAGGCAGGCCCGGAGCGCTGGGAGGGTCAGAGGGGCTTTGGGAAGAGCCTGGAGTGCCAGGATAAGGGGGAATGGCTTCACAGTGACTGAGGGCAGGGTTAGACGGGATATTGGGATGGAATTCCTCCTGGGCAGGCCCTGGCACAGGGTGCCCAGAGCAGCTGGGGCTGCCCCTGGGTCCCTGGCAGTGCCCAAGGCCAGGCTGGGCAGGGCTGGGAGCAGCCTGGGACAGTGGGAGGTGTCCCTGCCATGGCAGGGGTGATGTTTGAGGTTCCTCCCAGCCCAAACCATTCCATGGTTCCGTCATGTGGAGCAAAGCACCTGGATGTTCCGCTGGGGGCAGAGGGACACGCACAGCCAGACGGGATTTAATGTGAGGAGTCCAAGTGCACCCAAACCTGGGGGGAAACTGCACCAAATCCCAGGGAAAAATTGCACCCAATCCCAGGGGAAAACTGCACCTAATCCCAGGGGAAAATTGCACCTAAACCCAAGGAAAAAATGCACCCAAACCCAGGGAAAAACTGCATCAAACCTAGGGGAAAACTGCACCAAATCCCAGGGAAAAATTACACCCAATCCCAGGGAAAAATGGCACCAAACCCAGGGAAACACTGCATCAAATAACAGAGGGGAAATGCACCAAATTCCAGGGGAAAATTGCACCCAAACCCAGGGGAAAACTGGCATTTAGGGCAAAATCAGGGAGAGGAGAGGCCCGGGCGAGTGCAGCCTGTCCACACTCCCCACAGAGCCTCCCTTTGCCCTCCTGGACACGCAGCCTGGGAGGGAGGAACCAGAACGTTCTCCAGGCCCGGAGCCGGGGGAAAACGGCTGCTGCGGCTCCTCGGGGCCATCCCGGCTCCCTCAGCAACACCTTCTCCCCGTGTGGTCTCCCCGCGGTAAATCTGCCTTTGGAGATATTAAAAGAATGCAATTATTTCCCAGAAGAGCCGGAACAAAGGCTCTGGCCTGCGTGAGGACACCCTGGATCGATGGCAGAGCGAGATAACTGCGGGATTACTCAGCCAGACCTGGATTTCCCCACCGCCCCCGGCGCTCTGGGGCAGAGCAGGGGGTCCCAAACCAGGGGTGATTCAATCCCAGGCCGGCTCCTCTCTGCGGGGGTGACACAGGGGTGACACAGAGGGGACGCAGGACGGAGCTCGCAGCACCTCGGGGCTGTGTCTCGCTGCCAGGACAGAGCCAGGGGGGTGGCACTGTCCCCTGGCTGGTTTTGTCACCGGGGTGAGGTTTTAGAGTGACCTTTTGGGGACAGATGTGCCTCGGGGGAGGTGGAACCACAAGTCATGGGCACAGCCTTGCGCCAAACTGCTCCTCATGGCTGTCACCTGCCCCAGGGCTGTCCCACACACATTAAATGTCATTTTGGTGCCATTAGGCCACTCTCCATGGCTGTCACCTGTCCCAGGGCTGTCCCACACACATTAAATGTCATTTTGGTAAATTGAGCTGCTCTCCATGGCTGTCACACATATTAAATGTCATTTTGGTAAATTGAGCTGCTCTCCATGGCTGCCACACATATTAAATGGCATTTTGGTGCCATTGGGCCACTCTCTGTGGCTGTGATCGGTACCAGCACAGTCCCACATGCATTAAATGTGATTTTGGTACCATTGGGCTGCTCTCCATGGCTCTCACCTGTCCCAGGGCTGTCCCACAGACAGTAAATGTCATTTTGGTACCACTGGGCCACTCTCCATGGCTGTCACCTGTGCCACACACATTAAATGTCACTTTGGTACAATTGGGCGGCTCTCTGTAGCTCTCACCTCTCCCAGTATGGTTCCACATGCATAAAATTTAATTTTGGTTCCATTGGGCACTCTCCGTGGCTGTGACCAGTACCAGCAATGTCCCACGGACATTAAATGTCATTTTGGTGAAATTGGTCCACTCTCCATGGCTCTCACCTGTCCCAGGGCTGTCCCACACACATGAAATGTCATTTTGGTACAATTGTGTGCCTCTCCATGGCTGTGACCTGTCCCACACACATTAAATGTGATTTTGGTACAATTGTGTGCCTCTCCATGGCTGTGACCTGTCCCACACACATTAAATTTTGGTGCAATGAAGACACGCAGGGCCCTTCCCCTGCCGCTGTCACTGATTTTATGGCGCTGGCCGCGTGGCACCGGGTTCCTCTCAGGGATGAGCAGCTCCGGGCTGCTCCTTCCCACCTCCAGCCTCTCCCGAGCTCCACAAACCCGGGACAAATCTCTCTGCCCGCTTCAAAACCAGCCCGGGACATCCGAGGACGATCCCGGGCTGCAGCGATTGCGATAATGAATCGCGATAATGCGCCGCGATAAAGAACGGCGCTAATGAAGGGCGCTAATGAATTGTGGCCATGAATTATTCACGGAGCGGCAGCGGGAGCCGTTTCCAAGGGCCACGGGGAAGACAAACACGGCGGGGAGGAGCCGAGCCGAGCCGAGCCGAGCCGGGCTGCCGCAATTTCAGCGTCAAAGCAAACAGGATCCTGTCCAGGCACGGCACAGCCGGGCACGGGAAGCTCCGAGCTCCCCGGCCGCGGTCAGCAGAGGGATTGCACCGGCCCCAGGGGAAAGTGTCGCTGTCGCTGTCGCTGTCGCTGTCGCTGTCGCCGCCTCCGGATCTCTCCCAGCCGTGGGATTGTTAAAAATAGCTTAGAAACGCTTGTAAAATAGTTGATAATTGTTAATTGTGCTGTTAGCTCGGTTATTCTGTTGTGAAAGGGGTTAAAAGGGTCGTGATAAGCAATGACACCGAAGCACAGAGCACCGCCCCACGGGCCAATCGAGCCCCAAACCGCCATGCACATGGAGGATCCGAACAGAAACCAACCCAGGGGGACAAAATCGGGATGCAAAGGGGCATCTGACCCGGGGAAGCTGTGCCATTCCCCGGGGACACCGGGGCCATCGCTGCTGGAGCAGCCCCAGCCCGGCGCTGCAGCGTCCTGGACGGGATTGCCCCTGCCCGGCCCGGGCCCGGCTCCAGGCCTTTCTTTTATCAGAATAAGTGCTGAAATCACCTTTAGTACCCCTGGCTTTAGGTCTTTCTTTTATTAGAATAAATGCTGAAATCACCTTAGTACTCCTGGCTTTAGACCTTTCCTTTATTATAATAAATGCTGAAATCACCTTTAGTACCCCTTGTTTTAGGCCTTTCTTTTTATTATAAAAAATTCTGAAATCATCTTTAGTACCCTTTGCTTTAGACCTTTTTTCAAAATTATTATTATAAATGTTGAAATCACCTTTATTATTCCTTGCTTTAGACCTTTTTTTTATTATTATAATAAATGCTGGAATCACCTTTAGCACCTCTTGCTTTAGGCCTTTCTTTTTATTATAATAAATGCTGAATTCACTTTTAGTACCCCTGGCTTGAGGCCTTTATTTTTGTTATGATAAACGCTGAAATCACTTTATTACCGGGAGCGTGGTGCCGTTTTTAACGGGATCTCTCCCGGCTCAGCCCTCCCGAGCTCCAGCCCCGTGTTTGGGGTCCCGCTGGATTTCTCGGGATGCTTTTCCCGAGGTTTCCCCCCGTGCAGCCCCGCGGAGTTTCTGTTTCCAGCGGGCAAATTCCTCCCGAGGATCCGTGCCGGGAGGGAGGGAGGCTGGGGGTGTTTGTTCCAGAGCGGCTCAGGAAACCTTTCCCATTTTCCTGGAAATGCCAGGGGACGCGGAGAGCAGCGCTGATAAGGATCCTCCTTTGTGGCAGCACCCGCGGCTTTCTCCGCTGGAGAAATCCACGGAAATTCCCCTGGAAATCCCAAACCGGGCTTGTCCCGCGGCCCCAGTGCGTGTCCACCAAAACCAGCCTGAAATCCAGCCAGGAATTTGGCTCCGCGTCAGGGAAACCTGCTCGGAGCCCGGCTTGGTGCTCGCCCACAGCTCCGTCTGCTTGCAGGCTGCGAAATTTGTATGAATTCATTTATTACGTGAAAATAAATTCTACAGCGTTATCCCGGCCCTGAAAACTTCACATCCCGGCCAAAACCTGCGGCTCTGCCTCGGGACTGGGTGGCCACAGGCTGTGTTTGTGGACTGGGAAAGGAATAAACATCCCGAAAGAGATTCTCTGGCAGCAGCGAGACCTCCCGCAGGGAAGGGAAGAGTCATTAAAATGCCAGAGACAACAAAAAGTTTAGTGCTGGCCCCTCGTGCCTGGCCCTGAGCCCCAGCATTCCTCACCTGCTGCCCGGGATGCTCCGGCAGGTGTGAAATCCATTTTCCCTCTAAAAACGCGGAGGAGGCCGCGGCTGCTCTGATCCTCCCCATCCATCAGCAGGAGCAGGGAAACTCATCAGCGCCAATGGGAGCCTTGGGAAAAGTCATTTATGGCCTTTCGTGGATGATGAGAGCAGCAGAGCCACCCCAGGAGGGCAGCTGGGGGTTCCACCTGTCCGTCCATCCATCATCCATCCCTCCATCCGTGGATTCATCCGTGGATCCATCCATCCATCCATCCATGCATGGATCCACCCATTCATCCATCATCCATCCATCCATCCATCCATCCATCCATCCATCCATCCATCCATCCCTCCATCCATGGATCCATGGATCCATGGATCCATCCATCCATCCATCCATCCATCCATCCATCCCTCCATCATCCATCCATCCATGGATTCCCTCCATCCATATTTTTCCATTAAACCACCTCTCCAAGGCTCCCTTTTATCACAAATCCGCCCCCAGGTATCCCTGTCACCCTCCCGGGCACTGGGGGGGTGTCACAGCACGAAACCACAAGGCATTCAGAGGAAAAAGAAGAAAAATCCCCCTCAAAAAAAAAACCCCAAAAAATCCCACCAAAAAAAAATCTGGAGCTTTTATTCTGCGAGCAGGAAGCGCCTGTGTCTCGGGAAGGCGACTCCACATCCGCTCCAGCGCCAGCACATTCCCTGGGAATGGGAGCAGCCAGGGGTGACCCCGCTGCTGGTGGCCCCCCAGGGCTGGGGACATGCCAGGGATGAGGGTGGCAGTGGCACAGGTGCTTCCCAGAGCTCAACCCCCAGCTCCCCAGAGCGGAATTCCCGGCTGGAGCTGGAGCAGCGCTCACACAACCCCACCCTGGGCTCCTTTTGGCACCACAAAGGGCAGAGCTGACCCCAAAAAGCAGCGCTGACCCCCAGAAATGTTGTCCCCAACAGCCAGAGCCAGCCCAGCCGCGTGTCCTGAGCCCGTGGCGAGGTGCAGGAATCATTTCTGCTCCAGCACCGCTCCTCTGGAGGCTGTTCCTGCAGGAAGTTTCCTGTTTGTGCACACAAAGTCTGCTTGGGGACGATCAGTGATGATTTTTGGCAGCAGGGCCAGCTCAGCGCTCGGCCTCTGTGCCGGGGCAGCCACCGGGGCTGGAAAGCCTCTCAGCAAGCTCCGAGCGTGGGGAGTTCAGCCGAGGACACGGCCGGGGCCGCTCCGGGATTTTTTTTGTCGCTGGAAAACTCCAAAGGCTCGGCTGGGCTGGGATAAAGAGCAGGGAGCAGAGAGGGTGTGGGGTCCCGGGGGTGCCGGGGACAGAGGGACCAGCCCAGGGCTTCCTGCAGCCCCCAGGGCCAGGAGGGGCTGGCTGGTGACAAACCCAACATTTCTCCAGGGAAAGGAGCTCTGGGGCCCCCTCATCCCAAGGGATTCTCTGCAGAGCTCGGGGAGCTGCAGCCCTGGGGGCATTTCCTGGACCCCTGGGCAGCAGCATCAGGGGCTCTTTGGACCCCAATCCAGCTCTGTCCCAGCTCCTGGCGGCTGTTTGGGCTCCTCGGGGATGTCTTTCCACGGGAATAAAACACCGGAGGAGGCGCACAGCATCCAATTATCTGTTGGATCTTGCAGCACCCGAAAGGGGATTTTGGAGCCGCCCGGGCCCAGCACCACCCGGGCAGGGCAGCCCAGGAGAGCGGGACGGCTGCCGAGGGTGCTGCTCAGCCCAGGGATGCCATCTGCTGTTCACCGCTCTGGGAGGAGACCCAGCACGGCTCGGCCCAACCAAACCACCCAAACCTGCGGAAATCCCCAAACCCGCCCAAAACCATCCCGAAATGCAGGCACAGCCAGGAGTGCCCGGCCCACCCGGACGGGGCTCAGGTCACATCTCCGGGGCTCAGGTCACATCTCCGGGGCTCAGGTCACATCTCCGCCACCCGGAGGGTGGGCACAGCCCTGCTGGGCCAAAACCAGGGAGGTTGTGTCCCTCAGGACTCCATCTCCCAGGCAGGTTGTGTCCTGCAGGACCCCATTTCCCAGGCAGGTTGTGTCCCTCAGGACCCCATTTCCCAATTTCCCAGGGAGGTTGTGTCCTGCAGGATCCCATTTCCCAGGGAAGCTGTTTCCCTCAGGACCCCATTTCCCAATTTCCCGGGGAGGCTGTGTCCCTCAGGACCCCATTTCCCAATTTCCCAGGAAGTTTGTGTCCTGCAGGATCCCATTTCCCGGGGAGGTTGTGTCCCTCAGGACCCCATTTCCCAATTTCCCAGGAAGGTTGTGTCCTGCAGGATCCCGTTTCCCAGCAGGAGCATCCCAGGGAAGGGCAGGGCTGAGGCGCAGGCTGAGAAGGGTCAGGGGCGGGAGGTGAATGCCACCCTCACCCTCTGGGCGTGGGGAAAATCCCCCCCGTGCCAGGGGCACCCTGGGCTGGCACTCGGCATCTCCAGGGATCCTGTGGGGTGATGGAAGCTTGGGGTTCATCCAGAGGCAGACACCTGGAGCTGTTTTTCCCTCCTCGGGGGCTCAGAGCTGCTCGTGTCCCCCTCTCTGGAAGCTCGGGGCTCTCCCAGCTGTGGTTCTGTCACCCCCAGTCGCTGTCCCCTCCTCCATAAATCCCAGGGCGCTGCTCTGTCCAGGGTTTCTGGGGGCAGGAAGGGAAGGATCAGGCTCCACAGAGGATCCCTCCTCCCCCTGCTCCAGCCGAACAAAGCACCGAGCGCTGAGCGGGGCCCGGGAATCAGGAGAAAAAGAGCTGGGAAAGGTTCCTTAAGGACAAAGAAAATTCCTCATTAGCAGCCGGGCTCGGCGCAGGGGCGGCTCACGGGGAGATTGGCTGTGCCGGGGTTGGGCTGGAGGGGAAAGCTCCTCTCTCCCTTCATTCCCCTCCTGTTCCCCTCCTCCTTTCCCCAGCGCTCCACATCGGGGGATCCCGCCTGGAATGAGGGGAGAAGAATCCTGACCGCCGCTCCCTCTGTCCCACCGTGTCCCCGGAGCTCCACATGGAGCTCTTGGAGCTCCGAATGGTGCCCTCGGAGCTCTGAATGGTGTCCTCAGAGCTCCACACGGCATGCTCGGAGCTCCACACGGTGCTCATGGAGCTCTGAACTGCGTTCCTGGAGCTCCGCACGGCACCCTCAGAGCTCCGCACGGTGCCCTCGGAGCTCTGCACAGTGATCATGGAGCTCTGAACGGTGTCCTCGAAGCTCCACACAGTGAACTATGTTCCTGGAGCTCCACACGGTGTTCCCGGAGCTCCACATGGTGTTCCTGGAGCTCCACACAGTGTTCCCGGAGCTCCACACAGTGTACCTGGAGCTCCACACGGTGACAGGAGCGGCCCCAGATGGAGAGGCGACACAGCAGGGACAGCCCGGCCTGGGACCCTTGGAGCTGTGGGGAGCAGTTCCTCCACCTGATGTCCCCACGGAGCTGTGACAGTGACAGGAGGGGACCCCTGGCCAGCGTGGGGGTTCCTCATGGACAGCAGTGCCAGGAAGGGCGGCACCAGGATCCCTGGATGTGGTTCTGGAGCAGCTGCTGGATGGTGCTGTCCCAGCTCCAGGAGCTGCCAGCACCGTCCCCAGTGCCACTGCTGGGGACAGCCAGGGGCAGGGACATGTTCCAGGTGGGATTCTCCTCCAGGTGGGATTCTCAGGAATCAGAGGCACAGGGATCTGTTCCAGGTGGGATTCTCCTCCAGGTGGGATTCTCAGCAGTCGGAGAGGCACAGAGCCCTGCTCCAGGTGGGATCCCCACTCAGGTGGGCTTAGATCAGGAATCAGAGAGGCACAGGAACCTGTCCAAGGTGGGATTCTCCTCCTGGGAGTTCCAATCAGGAATCAGAGAGGCACAGGGTCCTGTTCCAGGTGGGATTCTCAGGAGTCAGAGAGGCACAGGACCCTGTTCCAGGTGGGATTCTCCTCCAGGAGTGTTCCAGTCAGGAATCACAGCGGCACAGGGCCCTGTTCCAGGGGGATTTTCAGGAGTCAGAGGCACAGGGCCCTGTTCCAGGTGGGATTCTTCCAGGAGAGTTCCAGTCAGGAATCACAGAGGCACAGGGTCCTGTTCCAGTGGGATTCTCAGGAGTCAGAGAGGCACAGGGTCCTGTTCCAGGTGGGATTCCCACTCAGGTGGGTTCCACTCAGGAGTCAGAGCGGCACAGGGATCTGTTCCAGGTGGGATTCTCTCCAGGAGAGTTCCAGTCAGGAGTCAGAGAGGCACAGGGATCTGTTCCAGGTGGGATTCTCAGGAGTCAGAGGCACAGGGCCCTGTTCCAGGTGGGATTCTCTCCAGGAGAGTTCCAATCAGGAGTCAGAGAGGCACAGGGCCCTGTTCCAGGTGGGATTCTCAGGAGTCGGAGAGGCACAGGGCCCTGTTCCAGGTGGGATTCTCTCCAGGAGAGTTCCAGTCAGGAATCACAGAGGCACAGGGCCCTGTTCCAGGTGGGATTCTCTCCAGGAGAGTTCCAATCAGGAGTCAGAGAGGCACAGGGCCCTGTTCCAGGTGGGATTCTCTCCAGGAGAGTTCCAATCAGGAATCACAGAGGCACAGGGCCTCCACGGCCGTGCTGAGCCCCTGGCTGACGCCGCCCACGGCCAGCAGGCAGTCCCGCAGCGCGATGCTGGAGCAGGCGCAGCGCGGCGTGGGCATGGGGGGCAGGCTCTCCCACTTGTTCTTCTCGGGGTGGAAAGCCTCTGCCGACTCCAGCACTGTCGGCTGATTCCCTGGAAGCACAAAAGGAGGCGCTGGATGATCTGGGAAGCACCATCGAGCTTCTCTCGGCGGCTCTGTACCCCATCCCTGCTCCCTCCCACCAGCCAGCACAGCGATTTCTCCTTTTTTTGGGATGACAACAATTCCAGCAGCTTTTTAAAGGGTTCCCACAGTCCCAGAGCCTCACCCAGGCCCCCAGCCACGACAACTCTGCCCCTCAGGTAGCCGGCCACGAAGTCTGCTCGCCTTTTCTTCAGGTAGCAGGAGCGCTCCATCTTCATCCAGCCCCCTGGAAGGACAGGACACGCTGGCTTTTGTGGGACCCCCCACCCCTGGGGAGCACCCGCCTCTCTGAGCCCCTGGCTCCTGGAAGGGCAGCTTGGCTGCTGCGCCTTGGGGTGATAAACCCCACGGAATGGTTGGGTTTGGGCCCTGTGATCCCACTGCTGGATCCAGCTGCCTCGGGAGTGAGGTTTTCCCGTTCCACTCGGTAATCCTGACTGGAAATCGTCCTCTAAGCTGAGCTCAAGGCAGCAGCAGGTGGGAGCTCTGTGCTCTGCAAGGATGGCAGAGCCCCAAACCCAGCCCTGTGTGCCCCAAACCCAGCCCTGTGTGCCCCAAATCCCAAACCCATCCCTGTGTCCCCAAACCCATCCCCGTGTCCCCAAACCCATCCCTGTGTCCCCAAACCATCTCTGTGTCCCCAAACCCATGTTTGTGTGTCCCCAAACCCAGCTCTGCATGTCCCCAAACCCATCCCTGTGTCCTCAAACCATCCCTGTGACCTCAAACCCATCTCCATGTCCCCAAACCCAGCTAGCTCTGCATGACCCCAAACCCAGCTGTGACCCCAATCCCAAACCCAGCCCTGTGTGCCCCAAACCCCAGACCCATCCCTGTGTCCCCAAACCCATCCCCGTGTCCCCAAACCCCTCCCCGTGTCCCCAGGCCCCCCGGCCGTGGCCGGCCCAGCTCCCACCCTGCTCCAGGTCGAACACATCCACGGTCCTCATGAACTTGGGCTGCCGGTAGAGCCGGCCCTGGCGCAGCCCCCCCAGGCTGAAGAGCTTCCCCTCGGTGGGCACGAAGCTGGAGAAGGCTCTCTTGGTGGGAATGCTGGGGAACCTGGCCCAGGAGCGCGTCTCCGTGTCGAACACCTCGAAGGCGTTGACGGCGTACTTGGATTGCCTTCCCCCTGGGAAAGAGAGGGAATGGGGAGGGAAAAAGGGAAAAAGGGAAAAAAAAGGGAAAAAGGGGAAATTGGAAAGGAGAGGGAATGTAAAGGAGAGGAAAAGAGAGGGAATGGAAAATGAGAGGGAATGGAAAGGAGAGGGAATTGGAGAAGGAATGGAAAAAGAGGGGGAATTGGAAAGGAGAGGGAATGTGAAAAGAGAGGAAATGGGAAAGGAGAGGGAATGGGAAAGGAGAGGGAATTCCAGCTCAGTTTTGTCTCCCTGCTCTGTGCAGAGCTCACCATCCCATAATGTGAGCCCAGACCCACACACTAAAGCAGCACAGAACCTGAAAAATAGAAAATCTAAAACCTGAGGCATCACTCCAGCCCGCGAGTCAAACTAGGGATTTTTCCACTTCTCTGTCTTATCACAGGAAAAATCTGAATTTTCCCAGCTCTGCCCCTGCCCGTGGCGCAGGCACAGGGAGGGGTTTGAAATGAGCCAGTTTGATCCAGACAAACCCAGAGCAGAGCCGGGATCACATTCGGGAAGAGCAGAGGAATTCCAGGAGAGGATCCAGCGAGCCCTGGCCTGAGCTCCCGAGAGCAGGAGAGCTGGGGCAGCTGCTGCTCCCCGGGCCAGGATCCATCCCAGGGCCAGGGATCCATCCCAGTGATCCCAGTGCCAGGGATCCATCCCAGTGCCAGGGATCCACCCCAGGGCCAGGGATCCATCCCAGTGATCCCAGTGCCAGGGATCCATCCCAGGGCCAGGGATCCATCCCAGGGCCAGGGATCCATCCCAGGGCCAGGGATCCATCCCAGGGCCAGGATCCCAGTGATCCCAGGGCCAGGGATCCATCCCAGGGCCAGGGATCCATCCCAGGGCCAGGGATCCATCCCAGGGCCAGGGATCCCATCAGTCAGGCATGGAGGAGGAGAAGGAGGAAGAGGAGAAGGAAGAAAAAGGGAGGACGAAGAGAAAGGACGCAACAGAAAGCAAAAGAAAAAAGTGAAGGAGAAGGAAGGAGAAGGAAGAGAAAGGAACAAAAATGAAGGAGAAGGAGGAAGAAAAGAGGAGGGGCAGGGCTGGTCCTTACCCAGCACGTAGATCTTGGTGCCCCTCAGGATGGACGTGGCGGCGTAGCGGGGGGTGGGCATGGCAGCCAGGGACACCCAGATGTCCTTGAGCACGTCGTAGTGCTGCAGGAAGTTGTGGGGCCGCAGGTCCGAGCCCATCCCACCTGCTGCGTACACCCTGTGGTCTGGATGGGGCCAAAACCCCAAAAATAACATGAAATTATTGTAGGGAAGCACGAGAAATCCATCCCCCCTGAAAAAAAAAAAAGGCAAAAAACAAAACAAAACAAAACAAACAAAAACCCCCAAAAACTGCTATGGGAAAACACCAGAAATATCCCTGCCCTAAAAAAAAATTTTAAAAAAAAATCCATCCCCCCTTGCACAAAACATCCACTCAAGGAGCAGAACTTGCTGTAAAGCCATAAAAAGTTTGGAAGCACAGGAGAGGTTTTGGGGACTCCTGGAAGCGCAGGAGAGGTTTTGGAGACTCCTGGAAGCACAGGAGAGGTTTTGGAGACTCCTGGAAGTGCAGGAGGTGTTTTGGAGACTCCTGGAAGTGCAGGAGATGTCTTGGAGATGAACAAATCAACCTGGACTGCCACCAGGAGAGATTTTGTGCCCAAGCACAGAATCAAAGCCAGGAAAAACCTCCAAGCTCGTCAAGCCCAGCCTTTAATCACCAATTCATCAACCAGATCCCCAAATCCCCAACGCCGTGGCCCTGGGCCTGCTGTCCAGAGGGATTTTGTGCCCAAGCACAGACTCAAAGCTGGGAAAAACCTCCAAGCTCATCAAGCCCAACCTTTAATCACCAATTTATCAACCCCAACGCCACGGCCCTGGCAGGTCCCTCCTGTGGCATTCACGTCCTTTGACCATGATCCCTTTGCCCAGGGTTTTCCTCCTGGGAAGCTGAACGGCCGTGTCCCCCACTGTCACTGTCAGGACACCACAGAGTGTCCCCCCAGTGTCAGGACACCACAGAGTGTCCCCCACTGTTGGGGCACCACAGAGTGTCCCCCAGTGTCACTGTCAGGACACCACAGAGTGTCCCCCACTATTGGGACACCAGAGAATGTCCCCCAGTGTCACTGTCAGGACACCAGAGAGTGTCCCCCAGTGTCACTGTCAGGGCACCACAGAGTGTCCCCCCAGTGTCAGGACACCACAGAGTGTCCCCCCACTATTGGGGCACCACAGAGTGTCCCCCCCACTTTCTGCTGGGCCGCGCCTGCCCGTGTTTCCCGAGCTATTGGGGCACCACAGAGTGTCCCCCCCACTTTCTGCTGGGCCGCGCCTGCCCGTGTTTCCCGTGTCTCTTTCCCAGACAGACAGACAGACACCCACAAAGCCCCTCTTGCCTTTGGCCGCCACCGAGATGCCCATGGCGGCCTCGCGCAGCGAGCTGCGCTTCCTCCAGCGCCCCTCGTCCGTGCTGTACACCTCCACCACCTTCAGCGGCAGCTGCTCCGCGCCCACGCCGCCGATCACCATGATCCTCTTGCCCAGCACGGTGACGGCCACGCCGGCCCTGGCCGTGGGCATGGCGGGCAGCGCTGCCCACTGGTCGGCCTCGGGCGAGTAGACCTCGAAGGAGGCCACGGGGACGCCGTTGTCGTCGCAGCCGCCCACGGCGAAGACCTGCCCGCCCGCCTCCACCAGCGTGGAGTACACCCTGCGGCTGGGCAGCGGCGCCAGGGACTTCCACTGGAAGTCCTTGGTGCTGGGCAGGTCCATGGTGGCCGCCAGGAAGGGGCTGGTGCTGGAAAAGAGAGTTCTGGGATCGGTGAGGGTGGAAATGTTCTCCAGGATCGGCCAGGCTGTGCCCGACCCCCACCCTGAGCACTCAGTGCCACCTCCAGGGATGGGCACTCCAAACCTCCTGGGCAGCCCCTTCCAGCCCTTTCCAGGAGGAAATTCCTGCTGGTGTCCACCCTGAGCCTCCCCAGCCCAGCCTGAGGCCGTTCCCTCTCCTCCTGTCCCTGTTCCCTGGGAGCAGATCCCAAATCCCCCCCGGCTGTCCCCTCCTGGCAGGGAGTTGTGCAGAGCCACAAATTCCCCCTGAGCCTCCTTTGCTCCAGGCTGAGCCCCTTCCCAGCTCCCTCAGGACTCTCCAGACCCTTCCCAGCTCCCTCAGGACTCTCCAAACCCTTCCCGGCTCCCTCAGGACTCTCCAGACCCTTCCCGGCTCCCTCAGGACTCCCCAGACCCTTCCCCATCTCCATTCCCTTCCCTGGACTCGCTCCAGCCCCAAAATGTTCCTCCTGAACTGAGGGAAAATCCCAGAGTGCAAACCCCACCCTGCCAGGAGCAGAGCGGGACCAGAGCTGCCCTCCCACTGTCCCTGTCCCCTGTGTCACCGCCATCCCCCGAGCACCGCTGTCACTCCCGTCTGTCCCCCGTGCCACCCCCAGAGCGCCACTGTCGCCTGTCCCCCGGGTCACCGCCACCCCCCGCGCAGCACCGCCACCTTTCAGCGCCTCTCCATCAATCCTGCGGCTCCAGAGCCGCCTCAGCAGCTCACGCAGAGACCGAGCCTAAAAATAAAACAAAACAAGAAGAGGTGGGGAAACAAGAAACCGAAAAACAAAACAAAACAAAAAAAAAGACACAAAAAACAACAACACAAAAAAAAACCGCACCAAAAAACAACAAAAACAAAACAAAACAACAAAAAACCCCAAAAAAACCAAAAGAAAACAAAACAAACAAAAAAAAACCCAAAAAAAAACAAACGAGGCGAGGAGGTTGGAGTCGGTTTGTTCTGCTGCTTCCCCGCCCCCAGGTGGCTTCAAACCGGGCTCTGCTCCCTCCCCCCTGTTTTCCTGCCGCCTGGGGAGCTTTTCCTCCTCTGAGCCACCGGGTTCCTCCTCCTGACCTTCCTCACCCTGAGGAACGCGAGCCCCCGGCTGCAATCCCCGGCAGAGCGCTGGGAACGCGGTCCTTGCTCCATCTCCTCTCTCCTTCATTAAGCGCCACGCAGATGAGCTTAATTAGCGCGGGAGGACCGAGAGAGGGCGAAGGGAGAGGGACAAAAGCAGCTCTGGGAGGGAAATCCTTTCCCGTCCTCCCCATCCAACCCCGAGCCTCCACAAAATCCGATTAGTCCGAGCAGGGCTGTTTGGTTTATTATTATTATTCATATTATTATTATTATTATTATTATTATTATTATTATTATTATTATTATTATTATTATTAATCTTCTCACATAAATGTTCAGGAGCGCACAAAACATCATTTGGGGCATGAGGAATTAATAAATAAACTGAGAAATCCTGCTTGGGCTGCCAGCCTCCAGCAGCAGGACCTGCCCTGGGCCCATCCGCGATTCCCGGGGCAATTCCCGGGGCAATTCCCGGAAATTCCCGGCTCCAGGGCGGCCGCAGACAAAGGAGCACGAAGGCACGATAAAAAGCAGCAGCAGCACATCGAGCCACGCGTGCCGGCCTCCGGAATCCAAGGAAAAAGCAGCGAGGAGCAGCCCCGGGATTTGTGCCCCGGCAGCTCCGGGTGATCGATTCTGCTCCCTCGGCTGATCGATTTCCTTTCCAGGTGAATTTTCATGGATAAATTCAGCCTGGGTTGGTTCGTTAGCAAAGCAGAGCCAGCTCCTCTTTCCAGGAGCTCCATGGATTTGTGTCCGGGCATTCCTGACCTTTATTCCTTCAGTGCTGGGATGAGACACAACCAGCAGCAGAACCTGCCTGGGGCCAGGCAATTTCTCCGTCCGAAACTCAGGAATAATTGCCTAAAATGACCTAAAAATTCCTTTTCCACATCCCAGCACGCAGAGGAGAGGGATGAGGATTTCTCCGGGCAGGTCTTCCATGGGAATAAAGGAGAAAAGAGCTGGGAATTTGCTGGAACGCAAAGCCCTGCCTGAATTCAGCTGCCTTGGCACACAAAGATTCTGCTCCCCTTCCCTGCCGTGCTATTTAAAGGAAATCAAGGTCAGGATGGCGCTCTGAATTCCTGAATTCCACGTCTTCGCCTCCGGCTCTCCAAAAATCACCTGGATTTCAGCGGGAGGCGATAGCAGCGTGGTGCTGGGAGCTGGCAGAGCTTCCTGCGGCCACATTCCCCTCCCAGCCCCGGGAATTATCGCCTCATCCTCCCGGACTGATTGACGTTTGAAATCCAAAGGAAGGGAAATTGCTTTTTCCCCGGCAGAGATGGGGCCGAGCCCTCTGCTCCTTATCCCTGCAGGAAGAAATTCCTTGGGGAAAGGATGAAATTCCTTGGGGAAAGGATGAAATTCCTTGGTTTAAGGATGGAAAGATGAAATTCCTTGGTTTCAGGATGGAAAGGATGAAATTCCCTGGTTTAAGGATGGGAAGGATGAAATTCCTTGGTTTAAGGATGGAAAGGATGAAATTCCCTGGTTTCAGGATGGGAAGGATGAAATTCCTTGGTTTCAGGATGGGAAGGATGACATTCCCTGGTTTCAGGATGGGAAGGATGACATTCCCTGGTTTCAGGATGGGAAGGATGAAAATCCCTGATTTAAGGATGGAAAGGACGAAATTCCTTGGTTTCAGGGTGGAAAGGATGAAATTCCCTGGTTTAAGGATGGAAATTATTAAATTCCCTGGTTTCAGGATGGAAAGGATGGAATCGTTGGTTTAAGGATGGAAAGGAAGAAATTCCTTGGGTTAAGGATGGAAAGGATGAAATTCCTTGGGTTAAGGATGGAAATTATGAAATTCCTTGGTTTAAGGATGGAAAGGATGAAATTCCCTGGTTTCAGGATGGGAAGGATGAAATTCCTTGGTTTCAGGATGGGAAGGATGAAAATCCCTGATTTAAGGATGGAAAGATGAAATTCCTTGGTTTCAGGATGGGAAGGATGAAATTCCTTGGGTTAAGGATGGGAAGGATGACATTCCCTGATTTCAGGATGGGAAGGATGACATTCCTTGGTTTCAGGATGGGAAGGATGACACTCCCTGGTTTAAGAAAACCTCCAGGGTCTTTTCCAAGTGGATTTGGAGCGCGGATGGGCAGGGGCAGCCCCGGAGAGGGGTCAGGGCTCCAGGGGACAGCGGGAGCTCTCCCTGGATATTCCCTCCAAGGAAAACCCATCCCTGATTTTGGGGAGCCCCTGGATTCGTGGCATTCATGGATCTGCAGTAATTTGGGATTTATCAGCGCCAGGTTGGGTTCCAGGGGATCAACGGGGGGAGATGTCAGCGCAGCTCCTTTCCCTTCCCAGCCCTCTTCTCTCCAGGATTTGGAAGTTTTGCTGCTCCAGGGTGGAAATTCCAAGGGCTGGAGCACAAACCTCCTCCCATTTGGGAACGGGGCAGAGCCAGGATGATCCTCGGAGCCCCAAAATTCCCACCTGCCAGCGGGAGCGGGACAAACACACCCAGCGGGCAGAGAAATCCGCCGGGGACACTCCGGGGAAAGGTTCTTCCTCTCCCCCGTGTCCCGAGGGAAAGGGGGCTGGGAACAGCCGGGCTCTGCTGCCTTCGCTCCAGCCCCGGCAGCTGGGAATGGAAGGAGCAGGATGGAATCGCCAGCCGGGGATTCCTGACCTCCCGCCTCGGCTCCCTCGCCATAGTAACAACCCGCCGGAAAATCACAACAACAACAGCGAAACCTCGCCGGCTCCCCGCCTCTGCCTGGAAAAAACCGGCAAAAACGGCGGAAAACACCGGGATTAGAAGAGATTTCCTCGTGCCGAGCAGAGCAGCTCGTTTGGTACCCCCGGTGCCGAGCATCCTTTGGGATGCAGGAGGGGCCGGGGCCGGCCTGGCCCCCCCGGCTTCACCCTGCCCAGCCCGGGATCCGCTGCAGCCCCCTCCTGCCAGCTCCACTCCCGATGGGAGGGACAGGGGCTGCGGAAGGAAATATTCCCCAGCAGGAGCGCGCCAGGGCTGCCACAGCTCCGGGACAGGGACACAAGCTGCTGCATTTATTGAAAGAGCCCAAATCAGCCTTTTTATAAATCCTGAGTGGGCTGAAAAATCAGCAGAGCAAGGTGAGGCTTGCTCATGTCACTGTTGAGGTCAGGAGTTTTAATTTAATACTTTAATTTAATTTAATTTAATTTAATTTAAGAGCAAGGACTCACCTGCAAGGGCAAAGGGTCTTCCTTCCCCACCCAGCTCCCAGCAGGACCCCGAATCCCCCTCCTCGTCCCCAAAAGCTCCCTCTGCCCCACGAGTCAAACACAGAACGGCTTTCCCAGCCCTGCAGCCTCTCAGGTTGTGTTCCCAGAGCTCCTTTTCCTCTTTATTCCGGCTGCAGAGGGAATGGGAAGAGCCCCAGGCCGGATCACAGCTGGGGGAGGTCAGAGCAGCCCCATCCCTGCCGGGCCTGCTCCGGGAGAAAGGCTGGGAAACGGGATTGGGATGCTGGGGGAGAAAAGCTGAAAATACGGAATTTTTGGGGAAAAAAGTATTAGAAAACCCCATCATTTCCCACAAAAAGTAAGGGGAAAAAAATCATCTTTCCCCACCCAATTTTTGGAAGGGAAACACAAACTCCGAGCTTTGTTCGTGGCTGCTCCTGAACAGCCTGGGAGGACGCGGGGTCCCAAAGCATCCCCCAGTGACCTCCAGCGAGGAATTCCCTCCCTCCCTCCTTCCTCTCCCGGGATTTCTCGGGAATACTCACAGCTCCGGCGAGGCATGGCTGGAAATGCTCCCGATTTTCCCAAACCCTCCGAGCATCCCCTTCCTCCCACTCCCCGCCGGGAGCAGCCGGGGTTGGGAATTGCTGCGTGGGAAGAGGGGGGAAAAAAATTAAAATAAAATAAAAATAAATCCGCGTAAATCCAGCGGCGCCGCTGTTCCCCCTCTGGAAGATGTAGGACGCTCGGGGCGGGGAGGGTTTCCCCAGCTGGGCTCCTCCTCGGGGCTGTGCGTGCGAATTCCCGGCGTTCCCGATCCATCCCTGAGCCTTTTATGGCTCCCCGCGCTCGCAGGATGTTCTGGAACGGCGGCGCTCCCCGCCCCAAAGCGGCACCGCCTGAATTCCGGGGGGATTTTGGAAAAAAATCGGGAAAGCCGGAGCTGGGAGGAGGCGGAGGTGTCTGGGGTGGATCCCAGGGATCCGCCAGGGAAGAGCCCGTCCCGGGGATGTCACCCCAAAAGGGGGAAACGGGCACGGCAAGGGCGGCTGGGGCGGCGGAACCCCAGAATTCTGCTCCTGCATCCCACAGGGAGCTCGCAGGAGCGGGATGCTGGAACCAATTCCCAAAATTCTGCTCCTGCATCCCACAGGGAGCTCGCAGGAGCAGGATGTTTGAGCCAGTTCCCAAAATTCTGCTCCTGCACCCCACAGGGAGCTCACAGAAACAGGATTTTGGACTCTTTGGAGCAGATTCCCAAAATTTCTCTCCCTGTACCCCACAGGGAGCTTGGAGCAGGGGAATGCTGGACCCTTTGGGGCTGATTCCCAAAATTCTGCTCCTGCATCCCACAGGGAGCTCACAGGAGCGGGATGCTGGAACCAATTCCCAAAATTCTGCTCCTGCATCCCACAGGGAGCTCGCAGGAGCGGGATGCTGGAACCAATTCCCAAAATTCTGCTCCTGCATCCCACAGGGAGCTCACAGGAGCAGGATGTTGGAGCCAGTTCCCAAAATTCTGCTCCTGCACCCCACAGGGAGCTCACAGAAACAGGATTTTGGACTCTTTGGAGCAGATTCCCAAAATTTCTCTCCCTGTACCCCACAGGGAGCTTGGAGCAGGGGAATGCTGGACCCTTTGGGGCTGATTCCCAAAATTCTGCTCCTGCATCCCACAAGCTTGGAGGAGCAGGATGCTGGAGCCTCTGGAGCTGATTCCCAAAATTTCTTTCCCTGCATCCCACAAGCTTGGAGGATTGGGATGTTGGAGCCTGTGGACTTCCAAAATTCTGCTCCTGTATCCCACAAGGAGCTCGGAGGAGCAGGATGCTGGAGCCTTTGGAGCTGATTCCCAAAATTTCTCTCCCTGCACCCCACAGGGATCTTGGAGGAGCAGGATTTTGGACCCTTTGAAGGCAATCCCCAAAATTCTGCTCCTGCATCCCACAAGGAGCTCAGAGGAGTGCAATGTTGGAGCTTTTGGGGCTGATTCCCAAAATTTCTCTCCCTGCACCCCACAAGCTCGGAGGAACAGGATGGTGGAGCCTGTGGATTCCCAAAATTCTGCTGCTGCATCCCACAGGGAGCTCAGAGCAGGGGAATGCCGGACCCTTTGGGGCTGATTCCCAAAATTCTGATCCTGCACCCCACAAGGAGCTTGGAGGAGCGGGATATTGGAGCTTTTGGGGCCAATTCCCAAAATTCTGCTTCCTGCAGCTCCCACATCCCACGAGGAGCTCGGAGGAGCAGGATTTTGGAGCTCATTCCCAAAATTCTGATCCTGCACCCCACAAGGAGCTCGGAGGAGCAGGATTTTGGAGCTTTTGGGGCCAATTCCCCAAATTTTCATCCCACATCCCACAAGGATCACACAGGAGCAGGATTTCAAACCCTTTGGAGCTGATTCCGAGCCTGCCACCCATCCCAGGATTTTTCCTCCCTGACCTGGTTCTCTCTAAAGGTGTTAAATTCATTTTTTTCTCCTCAAAGTGCTGCGGAATAACTTTGAGGAAAAATCCTTCAAGGATTTTTCTTTTTTTTTTTTTTGGTGCCCCAAAAAGGCAGATTTTTTTTGTGTACCTCGCCCTCTTTGGGAATGATAAAGGAAATGTTGATGTTAAAGGGAAAAATAAATTTAAAATTGTCCTGAAAATCGATCAAATCCTGCAATTCCACATCTGTTTCCATGGGAACAGCAGGGGAGGTGCAGGAATTCCTGCAGATGACACCAGGGAGGTTTTCATTCCCAGGTTTAATTCCCTTTTTCTCACCTGTGGCACCTCAGGCTGAGCCAACTCCATCCCAAAACCATTCCTGGGATGGGAAATGGGGGGAGAGCTGCAGGAATAAAAAAAAAAAAGGGGAAAAAAAGGGAAAAAAAAGCTTTGGAAATGGAGAAAAAGGGGTTTTGGTTGGCTTTTTAAAATTGAAATAATAATAATAATAATAATAATAATAATAATAATAATAATACACAATTTATATTAATTTAATTAATTTAATGACAGTAATTTAAATAATAATATATAATAATATATTATGGATAATTTTAATAATTTTTTTTTAAAAAATAATATTCCCAAAATTCTGATCCTGCACCCCACAAGGAGCTCGGAGGAGCAGGATTTTGGAGCTTTTGGGGCCAATTCCCCAAATTTTCATCCCACATCCCACAAGGATCACACAGGAGCAGGATTTCAAACCCTTTGGAGCTGATTCCGAGCCTGCCACCCATCCCAGGATTTTTCCTCCCTGACCTGGTTCTCTCTAAAGGTGTTAAATTCATTTTTTTCTCCTCAAAGTGCTGCGGAATAACTTTGAGGAAAAATCCTTCAAGGATTTTTCTTTTTTTTTTTTTTTTGGGGCCCCAAAAAGGCAGATTTTTTTTGTGTACCTCGCCCTCTTTGGGAATGATAAAGGAAATGTTGATGTTAAAGGGAAAAATAAATTAAAAATTGTCCTGAAAATCGATCAAATCCTGCAATTCCACATCTGTTTCCATGGGAACAGCAGGGGAGGTGCAGGAATTCCTGCAGATGACACCAGGGAGGTTTTCATTCCCAGGTTTAATTCCCTTTTTCTCACCTGTGGCACCTCAGGCTGAGCCAACTCCATCCCAAAACCATTCCTGGGATGGGAAATGGGGGGAGAGCTGCAGGAATAAAAAAAAAAAAAGGGGAGAAAAAGGGAAAAATCAGCTCTGGAAATGGAGAAAAAGGGGTTTTGGTTGGCTTTTTAAAATTGAAATAATAATAATAATAATAATAATAATAATAATAATAATGACACCAGGGAGGTTTTCATTCCCAGGTTTAATTCCCTTTTTCTCACCTGTGGCACCTCAGGCTGAGCCAACTCCATCCCAAAACCATTCCTGGGATGGGAAATGGGGGGAGAGCTGCAGGAATAAAAAAAAAAAAGGGGAGAAAAAGGGAAAAATCAGCTCTGGAAATGGAGAAAAAGGGGTTTTGGTTGGCTTTTTAAAATTGAAATAATAATAATAATAATAATAATAATAATAATAATAATAATAATAATAATAATAATAATAATAATAATAATAATAATAATAATAATAATAATAATAATAATAATAATAATAATAATAATAATAATAATACACAATTTATATTAATTTAATTAATTTAATGACAGTAATTTAAATAATAATATATAATAATATATTATGGATAATTTTAATAATTTTTTTTAAAAAAATAATGTGGGTAAAGAGGGAAAACTGATTTTTTTTTGTAGCTAAAGAGGGATTTTGTTGTGCCAGCAAGGACAGAAACGCAGGGGATGGCAGATCCCGAATTTTTCCCAGAGATTTTTCAGGCTGACAGTTAATTAAGGAGTTAATTAAGGAATTTTGCAGTGCAGGGAGTCCCTTAATCAGTGAAGACAGGAGCCCAGAACTCTGGGATTTCTCCATCAGATTTTCAGCCGTGGGGAGAAATCCACCGGCTGTGCCCGCCCGGGTGGCAAACGCGGGGAGACAGCTCCAGGCAGGGAAAAACAGGGGAAAAGGGAAAAACGGGGGGGAAAAGGGAAAACCACCCCAAAACCATCCCCAAGCCACTCCAAAATCCCAAAAACCACCCCAAAACACATCCCAAAGCCATCCCAAACACCATCCTAAAAACCACCTCATAAACCACCCCAAAATCTCCACAAAAACCACTCCAAAACATCCCAAAATCATCCCAAAACCACTCTAAAACATCCCAAAGCCATCCCAAAAATCACCTCAAAAGCAACCCCAAAACCCCATCCAAACCTATCCCAAAACCACCCCAAAAACCATCCCAAAATCCATCCCAAAACCACACAAAAATTGTCCCAAAACCCATCCCAAATCAGCTACAGCTCGTGGAGTGGAAGCAGCTTTGAGCTGTGGATTTGAATGGGGTTTATAATAAATATAATTTTTAAATGAATTAATTTTTTTTAATAATATTTCTTCCCACCCTGCCCTCCTTCAGGGGGCAAAAATAAAACACAACGAGAAGCCACTGCAGAGCATTCACCCCAAACCTGCTGGCTCTGCACCCCAAACCCCTTGAACCAAAGGCTGAAAAAATCCCTTGAATCGCAGATTTTTTATTTTTCAGGATTTTCTTCCTGCGCGGTGAAAAAGGAGCGCCCAGGGGCGCCCTGACCCCGACGTGATTCGAACACGCAGCCTTCTGATCTGGAGTCAGACGCGCTACCGTTGCGCCACGAGGTCCCGGCAGCGCCACCGCCGCCCGAGCTCTTAAACCCTCGGCGCCGCCCCCGCGCTGACTCCCGCCGCACACCGGGAATCTCCGCACGCCGGGAATTCCCCGCACACCAGGAGCTCCCGCACACCGGGAGCTCTCCGCACATTGGAAGCTCCGCGCTCAGCACGCCCCGGTTCCCCGGGACGGCCCCACGGCAGCGGCCGCGCCGCCCTGAGGGCTCCGAGCCCGCCCGCCGCGCTGGCCACGCCCCCTGTGGGCTGTACCACCGCCCGCGGAGGGGTGGCGCGGCCCAACCGGCTGCGCGCAGCAGCGGCGCGGAGCAGGAATCCCCCCCTGGCCCGCGGTGGGCTGTGCGGGTTTAAAGGGGCCGCGCACGGAAAAGGGCCCGGGGCGTGCGGAGAGCGGGGGCGCCCGGAGCCTGCTGGAACCCAGCGCTGTTTGTTATTTATACAAGGAAACAATAGTTGTTACTCATTTATTAATCATAAATATACAATTCATAATAATTAATTAGATAATTAATTTCATTAGCAATAAAATAATATTAAAATTAATTATTAATATAATTATAATTAGCATAATATTATATAATATATTATATATACTATGATATATAATACATAATATAATATAATATGATATGATATGATATGATATAATATAATATAATATAATATAATATAATATAATATAATATATATTATATTATATTATACATAATATATAATATACAAAATAATTATATGCAGAATAAATAATACATTCATTATTAATTAAGTAATTGTCATAATATATTATATATAATAATATAGGACAATGCATAACAATATAGGATATAGAATATATATTCTATCCATTTTATACAATAGATATAATCTATATTATATACTATATATATAATGGAAATAATGTATATATTATATATAATATATAAAACACAGAAGAATTCTATGATAAAAGAATCCTTTATTAATAAAATAAAGATTTCTCTGCCTGCCCTGAGAAGCCCGGACCCCCAGGGGAGCTCTGCCCTTAACCTGTGTCCCTGAGAAAGCTCCCAAGGCTTTGGGATGAGCTGGAATCCCCGGGTGTGAAATGGAGCGTGGTGCATCCTTTCCTGATTCTCCTGGATCCCTCCCTGGTGTCCCTGGATCATTCCCTGATGTTCATGGATCCCTCCCTGATTCTCGTGGATCCCTCTGCAGTTCCTGGATCCCTCTTGGATCTCCTGGATCTCTCCTTTGTGTCCCTGGATCCCTCCTTGATTCTCCTGGATCCGTTCCTGCTATTCCTGAACCTCTCCCTGCTCTTCCTGGATCCCTTCCCAATGTCCCTGGATCCTTCCCTGGATCCCTCCTGGATCCCTCCCTGCTGCTCCTGGATCCCCCCTGGATCCCTCCTTGATCCCTCCTGGATCCCTCCCTGGATCCCTCCTGGATCCTTCCCTGGATCCCCCCCTGGATCCCTCCCTGGATCCCTCCTGGATCCTTCCCTGGATCCTTCCCTGGATCCCTCCATGGATCCCTTCTGGATGATCCCCCCTGGATCCCTCCTGGATCCTTCCCTGGATCCCCCCTGGATCCCCCCTGGATCCCTCCTGGATCCCCCCTGGATCCCTCCTGCTGCTCCTGGATCCCTCCCCGAGGAGAGCAGGGACATTCCCCAAATCCTTCTGGGAAGGGGGATCCCCCAGGACTCGATGGATCACGGCAGAAAATCCTCCAGGACCGCGATAAATCCCGGCCAGCCGTGCTCGTTAGGATGGAGCCCAATAATTAATTACTCCAATTAACCCGCTGGGAGCTTTCCTGGCACCCCAGGAGTTGCTGTGGGGTTGGTTTATCCTTTACCCCCTGTGCCCTTCCCCACATCCATCCCACTCCCAAACATCGGGAATTTGAATTTCAGGACTCTTTTGAAAGGTGAATTTTGGGGTTGGTTTTGAAGAACCAGCCAAGAGAAAGAGGGAGCAAAACCCCTCAGCTCCGAACGACCATAAACCCCACGCTCCAAAAATTACCATAAATATTTTATTTCTTTTTAAAATTATTTATTAATTTATTTATCATTAAATATTTTATTTATTTGTTCTTCTAGCATAGGAATTCCTAAAGGAAGCACTCTGCTCTGTGCGTGGAAGACGCCTGTGCTTATTTACAAAAACCACTTTTATTCCCCCCCAAAAAAAACCCCAAAAAATAAATGTACAGTACAGATTCCTATGGCTCCTGGGCTGGGAGGCTCCCGAGGAACACCCTGGGAGTCCTTTCCCAAAGAAATCCGGGCAGCAGGGATAAAAAAAGGACAATAAAAAGAGATTTAACCCTTTGATCCCTGCCAGGAGAGGCTGCAAGGAGAATTCTGAGCCTTTCCCTCCTGGCTAGGGATCGATCCAGGCTGGAATCAGGAAAATCGATGGGGTGGAGCAAAACCCCAAAGCAAAGCCTGAGGTTTAAGCCGGGCTTTGTTGAGTCAGGACCTGCTGCTGGCCTGGCTTTGTTTTTGCTGGTTTTTTGTGTGTTTTTGCATAGGAAAAACCTGGAGAAACAGGAGAAATCGGAGGGATGGGAGTCAGTCCACGCTGGTTTCTCTAGAATTAATCTTTTCCCACGCATCTCAGTGTCCCTGTGGATTTATCCTGGAATAAAACAAGGCTGGAATTCCACCCTTATCTTTACACCCGTGACCATTTCCAGAGCAGGGATTAATCCCAATTTCTTTAAATCCTTAAACACATCCCTCGTGCGGCCACCACAAACCCTTGTGCAAAAATAAAGTTACATTCAGGAAATTCTCTTGGAGTTCCACCAACTTCCTTGGATTTTGGGGTGTTTTTTGGCCCAGAGCTGATCCCAGAAGTCCTCGCCAAGGGCAGCGCTGGGGATGCAAAGGTGGAACAGGGGAGGCTCTGCTGATGTGCAAAAATAGGAACAGGACAAAGTCAGCGTTTCCCAAAGAACTGGAGCTCCCTGAGCCCACCTGGAGCTTTGTCCTTGGCATCACATTCGGAAAAACTCCGATTTTTGGGGCAGCCACCAATTATTTTGGCCTGCTGGAAGACTGGGAATACCTGGAATAAATCCTCCCTGTGGAAGGGAGAAGGGAGAGCTTTGACCACGTGAGAAAAATATTTAAAAAGGGGTTTTTTTGGTTTGTTTTTTATCTCTTGGCTGCCACCAGGATGCAGGAATTGCCGAAATTCCCGGTGGGAACGTGAGCAGGGCAGCTCCGAGGGAAGCTGGATCCTTTCCTTGCTGTGATGGGGTTAAAAAGGATTATTGCTGCTGGGAATAAATAAATAAATTCCTCTTTCTGCCTTCCCGAGGAGCCGGAGGCTCTTCCCATGAACAGCAGGAATCCACGGCGCTGGGATTTGTAGGAATTCCAGCAGGATCCGCGATGGGGAGGCCGAGCTGCTCCGGGCATTGTGCAGCCCTGGGCCGGTTTTTGGGATTTTTCCGGCTCTGTCTGCTGGGATTTGCTGGAGCTGGGTGGGGGACAGGGAATTCCGGGTCCCGGCGGGATCAGGGAGGGTGGCGGTGGCACCTGGGTGACATCCCCGGTGGCACCTGGGTGACATCCCCAGCGAGGTCGGGGCGGGATCGGCTCTGCCCCGGGGAGCCTGGGGAGAGGAAATAGTGAGAGATTCTGGGGGATAAATGGGGAATCTGGGGGATAAATGGGGAATCTGGGGGATAAATGGGGAATCTGGGGGATAAATGGGGAATTTGTGGGGAAAATGGAGAATCTGTGGGATAAATTAGAGAATCTGTGGGATAAATGGGGAATCTGGGGGATAAATGGGGAATCTGTGGGATGAGTGAGACATTCTGCAGGATAAACGGGAGGATCTGTGGGATCAATGGAGAATCTATGGGATAAATGGATAATCTGTGGGGTGAATGGAGAACCTGTGGGATAAATGGAGAATCTACAGGATAAATAGGGAATCTGTGGGATCAATGGGGAATTTGTGGGATCAATGGAGAACGTGTGGGATAAATGTGAGAATCTGTGGGATGAAAGAATATGTGGGGTAAATAGGAGGATCTGTGGGATAAATGGATAAATCTATGGATAAATCTGCAGGATGAATGAATGGAGAATCTATGGGATAAATGGATAATCTGTTGGGTGAATGGAGAATCTGTGGGATAAATGGAGAATCTGTGGGATAAATTAGAGAATCTGTGGGATAAATGGGGAATCTGTGGGATGAGTGAGACATTCTGCAGGATAAACAGGAGGATCTGTGGGATCAATGGAGAATCTATGGGATAAATGGATAATCTGTTGGGTGAATGGAGAATCTGTGGGATAAATGGAGAATCTGTGGGATAAATTAGAGAATCTGTGGGATAAATGGGGAATCTGTGGGATAAATGGAGAGAATATGGGGAATAAATGGAAAACGTGCAGGACAAAAGTGAGAATCTGTGGGATAAATGGGGAATCTGTGGGATAAATGGAGAGAATATGGGGAATAAATGGAAAACGTGCAGGACAAAAGTGAGAATCTGTGGGATAAATGGGGAATCTGTGGGATAAATGGGGAATTTGTGGGATGAATGGAGAATCTCTAGGACAAATGGAGAATCTGTGGGATAACTGAGCAGATCACACAGCTCTCCCGTGCTCCCCCAGCCCCTGACCACTCAGCTCCCTTCCCCTGCCCCCAGCACCCCCAACACACTTTATTTCAGCCCCTGAGCCCCCAAAACCCCGCAGACACCCCCAGGGGGGCAGGCAGAGCTGACCCCCCGGAGCTGCTCCTCGGGGAGGGGAGAAGGAGACACCGAGGTTCCCCGGCGTACCGAGGGGCAGGAGGGGTCCGGGGGGCCGCCCCTCACACGGCCGTCTCCTGCCCCCCGCCGGCCTCTTCCTTCTTCCTCTTCATCTTGCAGAAGCCGTGGAGGCCGCAGAAACAGGCGAAGGTGAACTGGGGCATCACCGGGAGCAGGAGAGCGACACCGGAGACCTGGAGGGGACAGGAGAGGAGGCAGGGCAGCAGCTGGGGAGCAGAGCCCCCAGATCCCAAAAATGGGGCATCACCTGGCACTGGGATCCTTCCTTCCTTCCTTCCTTCCTTCCTTCCTTCCTTCCTTCCTTCCTTCCTTCCTTCCTTCCTTCCTTTGTTTCCTTTCCTTTCCTTTCCTTTCCTTTCCTTTCCTTTCCTTTCCTTTCCTTTCCTTTCCTTTCCTTTCCTTTCCTTTCCTTTCCTTTCCTTTCCCTTTTCCCCTTTCCCCCTTTTCCCCTTTTCCCCTTTTCCCCTTTCCCCTTTCCCCTCTCTCCCGAATTCCCCTCCCAAGCCCAGCAGACCCCAGCCCGTCTCTGCCCCGGGAGCAGCGGGATTGCAGCTCCCGGTGGAGCTCGGGAGCCCCGGGACCGCCCCGGCCCCGGGCTCCGGCACAAAAGGCTCAGCTGGGACCCAATTCCCCCTCTTTGTGTCCGGTTTTTTGGGGTTTTTTTGCAGATAAAAAACCGCCCCAAAGCCCAGCCCACGCCACGGCCCAACAGCTGCAAAATGTAATTATGCAAATGCAAGGCTGGGGGTTTTAAATAAATAACAAACCCTGGCAGAAATGCTGTCTGAAGGCAAAGCTTCCTTCACTCCTTGCTCGAATTTCCAGCTTTTTATCAAACCACGGAATCCCAGACTGGTTTGGGTGGGGAGGGACCTTGAAGCCCATCCATGCCACCCCTGCCATGGCAGGGACACCTTTTCCACCCTCCCAGGGAGCTCCAGGCCCTGCCCAACGCGGCCTTGGGCACTGCCGGGGCTGGCAGCTCCCCTGTTTGTCGTCCTGCGCCGTTTGCAGATGATTTTACCCCAAAAAAGGCAGCTCTGCTGCTCAGGGGGATCGGCGAAATGGGCACGGGGAGCGAGGGCAGCCAGCAGGGTTTGGGGCACTGTCAGCCCCTGGGGCTCTGGGGGATCCTCCCTTCCCATCCCAAATCCCTGGGACCCCACTTCCTCATCCCATATCCCTGGGACCCCCTTTCCTATCCCACACCCTGGATCCCCCTTTTCCCATCCCACACCCCTGGATCCCCCTTTTCTCATCCCACACCCCTGGGACTCCCCTTCCCATCCTACAAGCCTGGGATCCCCCTTTCCCATCCCACACCCTGGATCCCCCTTTTCCCATCCCACACCCCTGGGACCCCCCTTTTGGAGCAGCCCGAATTCCCGGCTGGGAGGAAACGAAGCAGCCCCGGCGGTGACAGAATGCAAATGCAAGGCTGGGGGTTTTAAATAAATAACAAACCCTGGCAGAAATGCTGTCTGAAGGCAAAGCTTCCTTCACTCCTTGCTCGAATTTCCAGCTTTTTATCAAACCACGGAATCCCAGACTGGTTTGGGTGGGGAGGGACCTTGAAGCCCATCCATGCCACCCCTGCCATGGCAGGGACACCTTTTCCACCCTCCCAGGGAGCTCCAGGCCCTGCCCAACGCGGCCTTGGGCACTGCCGGGGCTGGCAGCTCCCCTGTTTGTCGTCCTGCGCCGTTTGCAGATGATTTTACCCCAAAAAAGGCCGTTCTGCTGCTCAGGGGGATCGGCGAAATGGGCACGGGGAGCGAGGGCAGCCAGCAGGGTTTGGGGCACTGTCAGCCCCTGGGGCTCTGGGGGATCCTCCCTTCCCATCCCAAATCCCTGGGACCCCACTTCCTCATCCCATATCCCTGGGACCCCCTTTCCTATCCCACACCCTGGATCCCCCTTTTCCCATCCCACACCCCTGGATCCCCCTTTTCTCATCCCACACCCCTGGGACCCCCCTTTTGGAGCAGCCCGAATTCCCGGCTGGGAGGAAACGAAGCAGCCCCGGCGGTGACAGAGGTGACAGCGATGCCACATCCCCACCCTCCCCTTTTCCCCCTTTCCGAGGGGCCCAGCTGCAGCACAAAGCCCCCCAAAATCCCTTTGAATTCCCTCCCGAGGCCATCTGGGAACCGTGGGGCTCCCAAATTCGGGAGCTCCTGGAGCACCAGGGTGAGGTTCCCTTTGTGCAGGAGCGGCACGGAGAGCGAGGAGATTTATAAATAATTTGTAAAAAAAGGGGAAGAGGATACGGTAAAAAGTATTTTTTACCCCTTTGCTCCCTGAGCCCGGCTTTGGCCCATCCTCTCCTCGCTCCGGGGCTGTTTAAAAATCAAATTAAAGAACGCTGGCCACAATACCCTGACAAGTCCCAGACCTCCCAGGCAGGTCCCCAGGGGTGCCCTGCGCCACCCCACGTCCCCGTGTCCCCCCCTCATCTTTTGCAGACACAAAACCACCCCGAGAGCCTGGGGGGTCTCCTGGGACCCCGGCAGGGACCTATTGAGACGTTTAGAGGGGTTTGTGGCGCTCGGGCTTTTCAGGCTGACCCTCTGCCTCCCATTCAGGCAGGGACAATGATGAATGAGCCCCGCAGAATGGAGGAGCCCAGCTGAGGCTGACGCTCCTGCTCCCCTTCAAAAGGTGGGAAAAGGGATGGTGGAGGAGCAAGGAATAATGAAAAAAAGCTGAAATGAGCTGACAGGAGGCCTGGGTGATTTGCAAGGGCCGGGCAGGCTCCCCAGCCCCGCGCTGCCCTTTCCATTCAAGGCAGAGGATCCTCGGGATAAAACTGAGCAAACGAGCGGAGCATTAAAAATGTAAAGCTGGAGAATTCTCTTCAGTCAAGCGCAGCACCCCGGGCCGTGTTTGTGGCTGTCACAGTGATGAATTGGGAGCTGTCTGCAATCAGCACGCTCACTTTCATCACGTCGCTTTCCCTGAGCCCGGAAAAATGTCTTTCTGAAGCAGCTGGACCCAGTCTGCTCCTCAATCCAGCAATTCCCGTTTCCCTGGGGTGTGCTGGACATCCAGGAAGCTGCTGGCACCAGGAGGGAAGGGAAGGGCAGCAGGGGTGGCTCTGCTGACACCCCCAGGGGTGGCATTCCCATTCTCTGAAATAATCCCTTCGCCCAGGATTTTTCTCCTGGGAAGCTGAGAGGCCTCAGAGAAAAAGGAAAACAATTCTTGTCTCATTTGCTTCTCCCGTGTTGTGCTCGTGTGAGCTGAGGCTGACGCTCCTGCTCCCCTTCAAAAGGTGGGAAAAGGGATGGTGGAGGAGCAAGGAATAATGAAAAAAAGCTGAAATGAGCTGACAGGAGGCCTGGGTGATTTGCAAGGGCCGGGCAGGCTCCCCAGCCCCACGCTGCCCTTTCCATTCAAGGCAGAGGATCCTCGGGATAAAACTGAGCAAACGAGCGGAGCATTAAAAATGTAAAGCTGGAGAATTCTCTTCAGTCAAGCGCAGCACCCCGGGCCGTGTTTGTGGCTGTCACAGTGATGAATTGGGAGCTGTCTGCAATCAGCACGCTCACTTTCATCACGTCGCTTTCCCTGAGCCCGGAAAAATGTCTTTCTGAAGCAGCTGGACCCAGTCTGCTCCTCAATCCAGCAATTCCCGTTTCCCTGGGGTGTGCTGGACATCCAGGAAGCTGCTGGCACCAGGAGGGAAGGGAAGGGCAGCAGGGGTGGCTCTGCTGACACCCCCAGGGGTGGCATTCCCATTCTCTGAAATAATCCCTTCGCCCAGGATTTTTCTCCTGGGAAGCTGAGAGGCCTCAGAGAAAAAGGAAAACAATTCTTGTCTCATTTGCTTCTCCCGTGTTGTGCTCGTGTGGGATGTGTTTGGGGATGGTTCACCCACTGGTTGTTTCTTTGAGTTCTATTGTGAATTATTTTCACTCTTTGGCCAATTGGGGCCAAGCTCTGGAAAGAGTCACGAGTTTTCATTATTATCTTTTAGCATTCCGTATCCTGTCTGTATTCTTTAATATAGTATAGCATTCTTTATAATACAATATCATAAAGTAATAAATTTGCCTTCTGAGAGCACGGAGTCAGATCCATCTCTCCTGCTGCCATCAGGGCATTCCTGCAAACGCAGCACCCAGGTGACACAGCCCCTGGTGGGATGCTCAGGCACCACCACCTTTCATTCCAGTGATTTTTCTCCCTCAGCTTTCCTATTTCTGGGAGACACCTTCTTTAAAAAATTAACTTTTTAGGGACTCTCTTGGAAAAAACAACAAGTTTTGCATTCGAAGCCCCAGATTTCAGAGCTGCCTTTTGCTGCCGGGCTCTTTCCTTGGGAAAGGAGATTATTTACCAATGGAATCCGGGCTGTGATTTTTGCAGGAGCAGAATGGAATGAAATTATTTGTGATGAAACAGAGGGGGGAAAAAATTCCTTTGCTTTTTGTGATAACTGCTCCATCCATACCCAAAGCCAAGAGTTTCAGGAGGGACTGATGATTTTGGGATCATCAGCCTGGTTTTTAAATCCCCTGAGCAGAGCCCCCATGGAAAAGTCACAGCTGGGCCTTCACTGCTGCATCCCGGCCTCTTCTGGGTGATGGGGATGCTCCCTGCACAGAGTTTTGCCTGGGATTTTTTGTTCCTTTGATTTCTAAGCATCCAAAGTTCAGCTCCTGCATCCCAGAACTCTGTTGGGACATTCTCTCCCTGTGTGGACACAACCCCTTTCCCACACTCCTCATCCTCCCCTTCCTCCCAGCCCCAAAATCCATCCAATTTAGCATTTCTCCAGCCAACTTTTCAAACCCATTATTTCCTAGCCTGGCTTTTTATTTTTTTTCTCCCCAAAAATTAAAAAAAAAATAAAAAAAAAAACCCTCAGACTTTTTGCTGCTTACAACCAGTCCTGAGCCAAGCCTCACTTCAAAGCTGCTTCTCTAATGAGCAGCCGAGCATTAAAAACCCAACAACAGAGGAGCCAGAGGAGGGGATAAAACCGACCTGAAAAGCAGCACCATCCCTTTAAGGGGAGATAATGAAGGGAGAAGATGTTTAAACCCATTATTTCCTAGCCTGGCTTTTTTTTTTTTTTTCTCCCCAAAAATTAAAAAAAAAAAAACAAAAAAAACAAAAAAACTCAGACTTTTTGCTGCTTAAAACCAGTCCTGAGCCAAGCCTCACT